ACACAGTGTGGTTATTATAAAGCAGTTTTCTTACTGTGTTATCACCATGTACACACTCTCTCTCCCTGAGCTGCTTCACGATACACACACTTTGGTTAGTCACCCACACACACGCACACGTCACTTGGTGTATAAGGTGCAAATCTACCCTGCCATCTGCTTTTCTCTGCCTTACACGTATGGATCACAGCTGTGCTTAGGTGTGGGGGTGTTGGGAGCTGATGTGCTGTTTCGGTCCACAGTACCATGCTCATTCACATGCTCTCAGAGCACCTTCCTATAGTGCATTAAGCAACCTGACTAGAAACTACTATCGTGCCTTACTTCTTTCACCCTCTGTGCAGGGGGAAAATGCTTGCCATGGAGGGTATGGGCTGGGCCATTTGTTTAGATGATTTGTACTTTGTGCAGACCAGCAGCTCAGATCCACGCCCTGTTTCCACTAAAGCCTGCATGATGGATGGGATTTGGGGGGTCAGCTCTCACTCCCAATATCCTTCCATTCAGTGCGAACACAGCATGTGGGTCTGTCTGTCTGTCCAATTATTCACCCAGCCAGCCATCTAAAAAGGCCAATTCCACCAAGCTGAAGTCAATTATGAGTCAAATCAGAAGAGACAATTCTACTAGAAACATATGAAGGAATTTTAATAACAGCATCCGTCCAGTACCAGATGGAAATGATTGAATGGTTAATAATGTAGAAAAGGCACAAGTGTGTAATGCATGTTTCTGTTCTGGATTTGGGAGAAAGTAGATTATGCAGTCAGTTCACATGGAGATGAAACCCTTTCCCTTCCAAGAGAGCGACTCAGGAGGATGGCTACTAAATGCAGAACTTTTTGAGCCAGCAGGTCCAGGTAACTTGCCTCCCAAGAGTTTTAAATGAATTGGTCAAGGAGCTCTCTCAGCTTTGCTGTCGCTCTTCAGGACAGGTGCTGCTAAATTGAAGTGGATTCAGGGAAGGGCCAGGGGAATGATTAAAAGACTGGAAAACATGGCTCAGAAAGAGAGAGAGCTCAGTCTCCCTAGCTTAACAAGGAGAAGGAGTGACTTGATGATCACAGGCTGTAAATGCAGAAGTTTGACAATAAAGGTCTTCTGAAGGTGCAGACACAAGTATAACAAGATCCAGTGACTGGAAGCTGAAGCTATGCAAGTTAAGACTAGAAATGAAATGCAAATGGAGCAGCGAGGTCGTTTAACCTCCGGGACTATTGTACCAACTTATTCTTCTGCATCTATGACGATCATTAAGTCAAGGGCCCTGTCATTGCAACGGGAATGAATTTGGGGGAGCTCCATGGCTGGCATATGCAGGAGATCCACGGGGGTGATGCTGACAGTCCCTTCTGGCCTTGGGATCGGTGAATTTAGCTCATGCAAAAAACACATCCCCTTTCTGTCTGTCTGTCGATGGCCGTTGAGCTCCATCGTGCTGGAAGGCGCGGGGATGCTTAAGTCCGTGATGAAGAGTGCCCAGGGACTATTGCAATCAGCGGTGGGGTGGTTTAACTGTAAGTCTTGGCTTTTCTCGTGGCCCCCCAGACCCTATCTGCGGTGTGACCATTGCGGTCTGTAAAACCTGTCTGTCCATTGCCGTCCGTCTTGTCACATCACTTCCTCATCGCTGCTCTTCCCTCCACAATAGCTTTATGGGTCTGCTTCTGTCTCCATTGCTCCTGCTCTAGCTGCTACACTTCTCCAGCCAAGAGCAAGCTTATTTGAGACTGATTTTTATAGGGTGGTTTGGTTTGAAGAGGACCCAGGGCAATGCACCATTGTGCTCTTGTTTCCCTCATTCCCCACAAGGATTTGGTGGGCTTATTTAGTCCAAAGAAGAAAATCTGGTGACATCTGGTGACAGACACTTTCCAGGCTTGGGGGCAGGCAGCCTGGAAGTGTACCATGTAAGAGAGATGAGGGCTTTTCACCATTGCATTAAATGTTGACTCTGAAGCCTAATGACAGCAGTGCTAACATAGAATCGTGCTGTAGTCAGGGCTGGTCCTGCTTGGAGCAGGGGGTTGGACTAGATGTGACCTCCTGGGGTCCCGTCAACCCTCGTTTTCTATGATTCGCCCCATCTCTGCTGGAAGGAGCTGTATGAGTTTGTTGACTCTGCTTTGTTCTAGAAGTTATCAAGAAGAGCCTGGATGAGCATGTGTCTGGGATGGATAGGAACAGTGCAACCTACCTCTGTGTAGGGGGTTGGACTGGAGGGCCCTTAAAGCCCTTTTCCCAGAGAAGGCCTAGGGTGAGGCAGAATGGTGTGGTGGAAAATGGATCCACTGGATATATCTACACGTGCATTTACACCGGCTTAAATTTACCATGCAGTAAATTACTGCACAGTAAACTGGAATAGGCTGGCATCTACAAGTGCAGGCATTAAAGCATAGTTATTCTGGGTGTAGACTGACTTGGGGACTAAAGTTAGTCCCAAGTCAGTCCACACACGAGTGTTACTGCGCAGTAAGGGGTGTATTTGGTAGCTGTGTTGGTGTGAGACAAAAAATGCAAAAAGCTAGAACTCTATGCGTATCTATACATGCGTTACTGCACAGTAACTAATCTGGTGTAAATTTGATACCTGAATGATGCAGGTATTAAATTTATGCTCAAGTCGGCATATGTCACCATATTTACTGAGCAGTATGGCCATGCACGTGTAGACGCACACCTGTCCTGCACAGTAATTTTGTTTACTGCGGAGTAAATGTGCATGTGTAGACATGCCCACTGGGTCATATGAGGGAAGTAGTTTCTGCAGGAATAGGGACTTCTTGAGCCTTGTGAGGAGCTCCCACAGATCAAGGACCAAAGGCAGCTGGACAGAAACCCTGTCCACTTTTGACTTGTCCTAGGATTAGTAGCACGATGCTTTCTGCAACTGCAGCACCTCTGGCCTCTCTGCCACAAATGCTTCCTCCAAGGAGGGAGAAAATCAAAGCCGGGGAGGGACCTCAGCGGCCCTCTCATCCTGCGCCTTGCATAGCTGCAAGAAAGCTATTCCTGAACTGTCCAAGACAGATGCCCGTCCAGCCTTTGCTTGAAGGAGATTTCACACCTCCCACATCGGACCCAGGCTCATTCTCAGAGCAGTATTTCCCTGCAGTGCTGCTGCTGTCCCCTTTCCTGAGCTCCCTGGAGAGTTTGCACAGGTGATTATCCCCACCGCCAAGCACTGCGGGGGGCTGCCAGGAAGCCCCTCCCAACGTTTCCATCCTCTCTGTGAACACGGCTGCTCCGACGGGTTACAGTACTGGAGCTCAGTGACAGTTTGCCGGGAGTTTGCCCCGCTTCCAAGTCTCAGAAAGGAAGACAGAAAGAAAAAGCCCATTAAAAAGCAACGACCTGTTTCCATCCCGCTCAGCGCCGCTCTCTTTCCATTTGCTGAATGCATTGTTAGACTCGGCCGGGCAGCACTTGCATGTTGATGCTGAGTCCTGGGAAGATGGATGGTTATAGTTCAGCCGATGGTTTGATCTCATTAATCCTGGCTTTCGGGAGTGGTTTGCCTTTCGGGGGAGGGAAGTGGGGGGTCCGCTTGATGTGCCGGCTGAGCTTTTGTGCACACTAACTGGGAGCGTTGGAAACTCTCCTGCACAACACCTGCGTGGTGCGGGCTTCCCGGCAGGATGACCAGCCGCAGGCATTTCTGCCTGCTTGGCCCTAGATGGCCAGACTGTGTCCATGAAGCGGGCTTAAAATGTGGGGCTGCTGTGGGCTTGGTAGATGCCATCACTCTCTGTGACTCAGTTTCCCTTCCCTTCTTGCCTCCTCTATTTCCCTTTGGGTAGGGCTGCCAGCAGCTCAGATGGGGCACTGCATCTAGCTGGGAGTTTGTCCAGCCCCTAACACAGCAGGACACAGTCATTAGCATCGCTATCTAGATGGCATTTCTCTCTGTGCCTCAGTTTCCCCTCCCTTCTTCTTGTCCCTTGTATTTCCCTTTGGGGCTGCCAGCTGTTGACATGGGATGTCGCCTCTGTCTCTGAGTTTGTCCAGCACCTGAAACAGCAGGGTGCAATCTTCATCGTCATCATCATCACCTAGATGCCATCTCTCTTTGTGCCTCAGTTTCCCCTCCCTTCTTGCCCCCTGATTTCCCACTGGGGCTGTCAGCTGCTGAAGTGGGGCACTACCTTTTGCTCTGAGTTTGTCCAGCCCCTAACACAGCAGAGTGCAGTCATCATCATCATCATCTAGATGCCATCTCTGTCTGTGCCTTGCTTTCTCCTCCCTTCCTGTCCCTTGTATTTCACTTTGGGGCTGCCAGCTGCTGAAATGCAGTGCTGCCTCTATCTCTGAGTTTTTCCCAGCACCTAAAACAGCAGGGTGCAATCATCATCATCATCATTGTCATCATCTAGATGACATCTGTCTCTGTGCCTCAGTTTCCCCTCCCTTCTTCTTGCCCCCCTGTATTTCCCTTTGGGGCTGCCAGCTGCTGAAATGGGGTGCTGCCTCTGGCTCTGAGTTTGTCCGGCACCTAAACACAGCAGGCTGCAGTCATCATCATCCTCATCTGTCTCTGCACCTCAGTTTCCCCTCCCTTCTTTATTTCCTCCTGGATTTCCCCTTGGGGCTGCCAGCTGCTCCCTTGGGGCTGTGGGTTTGTGCAGCGCCGAGCACAGCAGGCATCATCACCCTCCTCCTCCTCCTGGGCAGATGCAGCCAGTTCTGGGGGGTCGCTGGGGGCAGGATGCAAGGATGCTGTGGGTTGGGGATGCCTGGGCAGGGGCTGGCGGGTACCCCCAGTGCAGGGGCTTTGCCCCCCTTTCTTCCCTGCAGGCGGGGAGGGCTGGGG